CCGCGCCGCGTACCCGCGCGGCCCCAGCCCTCCCCGCACTGCCACGCTCGCCGGAGCAGCCGTCACAGCTCCCGCCGGCTGTATCTTGATACTGCTGAGTCCTGTTATTATGATCATAGGTCTCGCCAAGGTGGGGAGATATTTAATTGATGATCCCAGGGAGGGCATTGAGGACAATGAATTGCTTCTGTAGCATCAATTAATGCTGAGGCTACAGGCCAAAGGTTTTTACCAGTGCAGCAGAAGGCATTTGTGCCGATTGCTCTGCAATGCAAACTGCCAGCGGATGATGGCTATTATATTAGCATTATAAGTAGGGTGGGCTCGGGGAGGGGGAGGCGGCGATTTAGGCTACATATAAATCACTCGATGGCAGTTTCACGTTAAGTCCACCCGCTTTTCTTCCTGAGCCCGCACGGTTCAGAGGAGAGAAACCCGCCACTGATTTCCAAACCAGTCACATTTATTTTGTTATTTCGCCCATCTCCATCTTCCCGGGAGAAAGGGCTGTCTCGCATTAAGGATGGCTCTGATAGATGCTGGCTTCCGTAGCTGATGTGATTCATGAGGCTACAGATGGATTGTAATATGGTTAGTTATTCTGCAACGAGAGCAGGATAAAAACCGCAGTACGAGCCTTGAGCAGAACTCCCACAAAGGCATCGAGGTCTGATTAATTTATTTATTTGCTCCCCAGGACTGCCGAGCACCCCGGTGCACCAGCGCTCGGTGCTTTGGAAAGGCCATTTAGGGCGATTACTTATTTATTTGCAGCGGAGCCTGCGCTGGGCGCAGAGCGCTCTGAGCGCATCACGAGGACGGTCCATGCTCCAAGGAGCTCCCACTCCAAGGACTCGCTGGTGGAAAGAGGTCACGGGAAGGAGAATAACAATAGGCCATTTATATACAATTTATATGCAAGACAAATTGATTCACGATAGGCAGCCCAGCAGAAGCGGGTCTCTAAGAGGGACTCTGCAGGCAGGGGAGAGACCCCGGTGCTTTTGCAATGAATCCGCAGGGGCATGGTGGAGCTAAACTGGGATCCTCAGCCTTCGTGTGCCATCCTGTCTCACGGGTCCCACAGGCGAGTGGTGCCCAAGGTTTCATTGCCATTGGAAAAGTGCTGCCACGCCACGGCAGCCTGCGAGAATATTGGTTTCCATGAGATCGGCACCTCGGTGTTTTGCCTAAAAAGAGAGAAAGGAAAAAATAAAAAGGAAAAAAAAGGGGGAAAAAAATTAAAAAGGAATCTAAGAGACCCAGACCAGATGCAGTCTTGCTGAGGGAGAGCAAAAGGGCTGTCACTGCCTCCTCTTCCCCAGTGACCTCTCGGGGATGAGGTGCAGCTACATGTCCCCATCGCGTCCAGTCCCCTCCCAACAACCGTCTTGTCGAGGAAAAGAGAACTCACTGTTGCTCGTTGTTTCATCCTCAGGCCTATGTGCTTTGTGAAGCAACTGGAGATCCCTCAGTACGGAAGCTACCGGCCCAATATGGTCCCAGCAACCCCCCGGGCCAACCTGGCCAAGGAGCTGGAGAAGTACTCCAAGGTCACCTTCGATTATGCAAGTTTTGATGCTCAGGTTTTTGGCAAACGCATGCTTGCCCCAAAGATTCAGACTAGCGAAACCTCACCTAAAGCCTTTAAATGTAAGTTGGGAGCAGGGATGGGCTGGCTTTTGCATTTTCTGCCTTTCTCAGCGCGTTGCAAGGCTCTTGGGACCGTGGCTTTGGGGTGATGGGAGACTCGGGGCTGAGTCGCTGGATCCCTCCTGCTGCTGCAAAGCAGAGGGAGAAATGGGGACGGGGGAGGCTGAGGTGGGTCCTGCGGTGGGAACCTGGTGGAGAGAGGAGCCTGGGGCTGCCAGTAGAGCTTTGCTTGGGGGAGAGTCGCTTTGGCTTCGACTTTGGGAAGAATTGCATCGAGTGGTGGGGACATTAATCTGAGCGACGTCTCTAGGTGGGATAAGTTACACAGTTGTCCTCAGTTGGTCCCCGCTGCTTTGCAGTTCATATCTATTGATCTGTCTTTCCTCATCTGGCTAAATGGATTATAGTTTTCTTCTCTTCCATCTTATATATGACCCGCTCCACCCATTTGTCTTCTTTGCTGTGCTCTGCTCTCCAGCTCTGCTACCTATCGATCACCCACCTCCTCTCTCCCAGCTCCTTCCTCTCGTAGCCGCCCACCTCTGCTCTGTACCGAGGACCTTGCGCTGGTTACAGCTCTGCGCAACCCAAGCGTGGGTGAAAACAAAATGGGGAAAGAAACCCCCAGGGGCTGGGCTGTCAGGAGCAGGAGGGAAGCTGCAGGCTGATGTTAAACCTCCTCCTTCCCTTTGACACCAAACGGGTACCTGGAGACATCCTTTTTGGGGGGGGGGCGGGGGGAGGGAGGGAAGATTTAGGAGCCCAGTTTGCAGAAGTCAGCAGCCTCCAGAGGGCTTTCTGTCTGGCTAATCCCACTTCCACAATCCTGTTTAATCCTGATGCAGCTGCTCTCTGAAAAGTGCTCGTACTTGAAAGCATCCCGGTTGTTGCGCTACAATGGCAGCGCCCTTTATTACGGCACTAAATCTGTAAAGGATCAGACAATGAAATTGGATGGAGGCCAGAGAGCACAACTGCCACTGTCATCCCGGGTTAGGGCTGATGGAAAAGTAATTTGTTTCCCAGCACAAGTGATTCTCTTGCTGAATAGATTGTGTTATTTGCAATATTAGCAAAGAATTTTCAGGGTAATTGTACTGACAAAAATAATTCCAGCGGACCCACTAGGATAATCCTTTCTATTTTTTCTCATCACTTATTTTACTAATTTGCTGATTGCGAGTCTATTAGTGGTAGAAATACTTATGAAATGGAAAAGCATCGCTGAGCCTACGGTGTGAAATTGAAATTGGCATCTCCCGCTCCTGAATATTGTCAGGTTGGGCTGGCAAGCACCCGCACCCCGCCGCAAAGACGTGGATTAAACCGGACTCGCAAACAAGCAGCCATACACAAGAATAACCATTTGGGCAAACCTCCAGTGAGTTAATCAAAGCAACAAGATGAATATGATTGCCAATCATAGCAGGGAAATCTGTTCCTTTCACTGAGAACTTAATTTAAAGAGATCTTCATCCGGAGGGATTTATATTGCACTGCGTGTGTGTGCATAACTGCCATTAATGTCAGCGCGCGTTATATACGCACACAACGAGGACGAAAGCGGTCCTTGGCAAGATTAGCGTTTTATAGTGTCTTATATTACAAGTTTCTAATGGGAATAAGGAAAGCGCTTTGCTCTGTAGCCGCATCAACCAAGGTTGTCTTGCTGCTTCGCCGTCGTCAGGCCAAAGCTGACGAGCCTTCCCCGAGTGGGGCTCCCACCCAAGGGAGGGATGTTTTCCCCCCAAAAAGGGCGTAGTGAAATGAATTAAGAATGTGAAGATTTTGCTAATTGATTCAGAAGCCCCTGGGACTGCTGAAAGTCAGATGGTCCCCCGTGTGCACTCACTGAAACTCCGGACTTTCAGAGGGACTCTGTGCGGGTCAGGGCCCTCCTAAATGGGACCAGGTTCAAGGTTAGGGCAAGGTTTATTGTGGGTTAATCCTGGGAAATGCTCGCTTTCGTTCCACGGGGTGTAAGGAGAAATTGCACCTCCAGGATTGCTGTGACGCGCAGTAGCAGTGCCGTGTCGTGATAAATCCCCTTATCCAGGTCCATTTAAGTGATGTGGCAGCTGTCAGAAAATCCGTATTTCACCGGTGTCATCAGCAGAAGCTCGTATTTCATGGCCGTGGGTTTGCTGTTAATGTAATTTTTTAAATTGTAAGTTTTTCAAACGTGCTGCGAGAAATCTTCCCGTGAGTTAGCTCGGCAGATGTGTTATGAACAACAACAAAAGAGCCGGGAAGCTTCTCTAAGCTTTCTCCTTTACCCGCTGCCACCGAGGAGTAGCTTTAACGAAGAAAAGCGCTCACGTTTTGGGGACTTGGTGGCAGAGTCAGTTAATTAATGAAGTTTTTTCCCACGTGGAGACCATTGCGCGAGTCGCAGCCAGCGCTGCTCCTATTGCGCATCCCCAGCAACGAAACCGCCCGTGGCTTGGTGAGAACCACAGGTTGCCGCTGGAACTGCTCAGATGTTCACTGTGTCAGACAGACTGAGCCTCTCACCCCTTGCCGGGGCCGGTTATACTTTAACCTTGTGTTGTTCCTTCTCTTTTTATTCCAGCCAAACCTTTTCCAAAGGCCTCTTCCCCCAGCCACAGCCCCTCCAGCAGTTACGTGAAGAGCACTTCATCTTCCTCCACAGGCTTCGACTACTCCCACGACGCCGAGGCTGCGCACATGGCTGCCACTGCCATCCTCAACCTCTCCACCCGCTGCTGGGAAATGCCGGAGAATCTCAGCACGAAGCAACAAGAGGCCCCCGGCAAGGTGAGCCAAGCGTGCCCGTGGGCCACCACACCACCGCGCAGCAGAGTGGGTTAAAACTGGACGTGTGGGGTGGGAGAAATACCTTTTTTTTTTTTACCCCTCCTTTCATTTGAATCTTTAAATATAGAGGGAAGGCGGAGACTCATCACATGTCACCCTTTTACTCTCCGCTGTGGGTGGCGCAGTTTGGAGGAGGTAACCTTGGCTCTCGGTGTGTTATGGAGACGTGTCATGGTTCAGGTTACCCACCTGAGACCAGTGTCCTTCCCGAGCAGTCTCAGGGCTGGTTTCAATTGCTCACTGGTCTGCATCTGATGCCATTTGAGATTCCCCAGTTGTGTTCAGGCTGACCTCCAGCTATTTTTCAGAGGAACACAGGTTTGCCAGAAGTCCCACGTTGCACCCCCAGCCTTGGGCCATGGTGTCTTGGGGTACCATGGGGCATCTTAAATGGCACGAGATGCCTGTGTTCAAGCAACTGAGTCAAAATGCCACATTGCTGATAGTAGAGGAGTGCATTTGCATGGCATATTTCTGACAATATTTATGAAAGGGCATCCCTTCTATACAGTTCCTTCTCTCTGTGGAGAGGATGGGACATGAATAACCTGCCCCCCGTCTTGCAAAAGACAAATGGGGGCAAGATCCCTGTAGGGAATTGCTGGCAGCTGCTAACGTTGGGCATGTTTCCAACATTTCAGTCCATGGACATTGAGGTGGATGAAAATGGGACTCTGGACTTGAGTATGAACAAGCACCGCAAACGGGAGAGCACCTTTCCCAGCAGCAGCAGCTGCAGCAGTAGTCCCAGCATGAAGTCCCCAGATGTGTCCCAGCGCCAAAACAGCACCAGTGCCACGAGCAGCACCATGACCTCCCCCCAGTCCAGCCAGACCTCCCGCCAGGATGAATGGGATGGGCCTATTGACTACACTAAACCAAACCGTCAGCGGGAAGAGGAGCCAGAAGAGGTGAGCGGTGACTCCTGGTGCTTAAATAACACCTCATGTGGGATTGAATGCCATGCACAGTTGCCCTGTTTTCCCCCAGAACCCCCAGTTTGCCCTTCGAGCCTAGGAGCGAAGCATTATTAGCTTCGTCGCTGCTACCAGCCATCAGCGGTGGACAATCAGGCAGGAGGCAGATGCTCTCGGATCTGTTGGGGTGCTCTTGCCAAGGAAGAACCCACCACTTGCATTGTCCTGGGTCTGCAAGTGCTTCCTTTGTTGTAAATCCTTTTGGCTCATTTACACCAGCGGTGCTCCTGGTGACATTCCCCAGGATGATTTAGCAGATATGGCCCTGCTTGCCACTTAACATTAACCCGTGCAGGTGGGGGAGCCCAGCCATTGCCTCCTGGCCGGGGTGAGCATCCCGGCCCTGGAAGCAGCACACTGCTGCTCTGCCTGCGGGGAGGCAGGTGCTGCTGAGGATGAGTATGGGGGGATTGCACCAGTCTTCATCCCTTCAAGACCTTGGGAGAGCCGGGTGTAAATCCCCGTACAGACGCGTTTTATGCAGGCTATTTGATCTCTGGGTTGGGTACTTCAAGGCGCTTGCAAAGGGCTCAGGAGTGTTGGCAATGCTGCACTAACTGGGATGAACCTGGGACCCCTTCCCACCATGGCTCAGCGTCAATGACCACCGCTACAACCACTTCTCCTGGCTGTTTTCTTGCAGTCAGAGCCTGCCGCTCACTCTTTTGCCTCCTCGGAAGCTGATGAGCAAGAAGTGTCGGAGGAAAACTTTGAAGAACGAAAATACCCAGGGGAAGTTACTTTAACCAACTTCAAGCTTAAATTCCTCTCCAAGGACATCAAGAAAGAGCTGCTCACGTAAGTCCTGCCTTCTTGTCTCTTCCTCCAAAATGTATAAAATATGCACGCAGGACAGTCAGGCTGGTAGACGACAAAATTTGTTACCAAATACATTTTAAAAATTAGAAGTGTAGTTCTCTTACTTGCTGTGATTGGCCTTATCTCATCTAAGCAGTTCAAATGAAAGCTCAGAGAGAAGCCCTATCCTCATACAGCTGCTGATCACTGAGGCATGTGGCCTTGAAACTCTGCGGTGATGAAGGGAACCTTCTGGGGAGCTCGGTGCTCTCAAGATTCACAGATGTGGATGTGGAAACCTCCTTGCAGGGCTTGTTTTCCCTGGTGTTTTCCTGCACAAGTGCTTCTGGCACAGCGATGGAACCTGTGCAATGTCCTGCCCCCTCGTTTTGGGACAGTGGGTGATGCTGTGGAGCCAAGAGCACCCAAGGGATCTCAGTACCCTCTCAATGGGGGTGTTGAACCGCAAGGTGCCTCGTTGGGAAGGCAGGACTTGTTGCCTGTTTAACGTAGAGCAATGAGTCCCATCACCATGATACTGCAGGGCCACAAAATGTGAACTGGGGCTACAGCAAGATTATGTCTTATGTTGGAGAGAGATCTTAACCAAACTCACATCTGCATATTCATGGCATTGGGTGGGTGGAAATACAGACCCAGGTCCATTCTCTTAGGTGAATTATTGCCCTGCATCCACACTGATGCCCCAAACTCATGGCTAATGTTTGGAGCCTGACCCAAATGCTGCAGCTGGGACCTGGCTCTGATCCCATGGCAGGTCGGGATCAGTCTGGAGGTTGTGACGGGGAGGTCTCACTTCCCAGGCATCCCCCAGCAGATCTGCTGCGCATGGGCTTCTTTCCTACGTGTCTGACCTTCCCATATGTTAAACGGGGAAGAGTTGGCGGGCATCGTTTTGCTGACCTTACACAACGTAGCTCGTTATTTGGCTACGCAGGCAGGAGGCTGAGGGAGCAGCCAGGCAGGGAGGAGACCCAGGAGGGCAGAGCAGCAGCAGCATCTTCCCTAAATGAGCAAAGCACAGGCCAGCTGCCCCACGCAAGCTCTAAAGGCTTCGGTAAAACCCAGCAGCGATGTGAATAGCAATTTGGGAGGCTGAGCCCTGAAGTCCTCCTGTGCTATAATTGTATTATGAGGGTAGAGAAATTTCCTAAATGGAAACAGCCCTGGTATAAATAAATGGTGTCACGGGCAGCCCTGAGCCTTCTCTCCCCATTTAGCATCCTCATTCCTTTCTGGCCCCAGGGCCGTGATGAATTGGCTGCGGTTAACTCCGGAGCAGCCCTGCCCTCTGTGTCTGATGCTCCACGGCTGGCTGCAGCTCTCGGGCCATCTCCAGGTGCCGACGGCAGCCGCTGTGAAGGTGTTCCTCGCCTCTGCCTTCTCGCTGCCCTGCTGGCGGCACACGAGTGGGTCCCATGTAGCAATACATCCCTGCTGCTTGAAAGTCTTCATGTCAGCGCTGGCCATAGGGCTCTCTGTGTCTGCGTGGGCGTTGCGGCTGTGAGAAGGACTCGAGGGTGAGCAGGGGGATAGCTGCGTCCCCAAGACTCAACCCATCAGGCCAAACCATCCCAGGACATCCCTGCGCTGTCCCAGGACATCCCTGCTCTCTCGCATACCCCCTGGCCTCGGGCAGGCAGGGCACGACCATGCCAGAGCCTCAGTGCTCGTGCACAAACTAGATTGCATTCCCCGGCCACCGAGAAGGGGTGACAGCTTTTCCCGTTGCCCACTCAAGTGCAATTCCCCCAATTCTCTGGGGAGGCAGTGGAGAGGGATGGGTGGGAAACGCAGCCCGGCGAAGGTGGTAGGCGGGATGCGGCAGCTTCTGCCTGTCCTCAGTTTGGGAGCTCCCGAGCACAGGACTCGGAGGTTACTTTAATTCCCCTTCTGGAGCGAACAGTGTTTTCAGGCTTTTCTTTGCAACTATAAGGGCTGGGGGAAAAAAAAAAAAAAATCATTTCAGAAAGCCAAAATCTGACGCTTTCAAGGGAATAAACTGATTCCCGCAGCCAGAGCGTCGCTATTGCAAACCCCATCCAGAGTGGCAGCACCAAGGCGGTGGTGCTCAAGCCTGATCGTTCACGCCACCCAGCAGGCTGCCTAAGTCTTCCACCACCACCGAGCAAACCGAGCCCCTAAGGATTTTGAACATTTTCTTCGCATGTGCCACAAATTATTTTTTTTTTTTCCAATTTTGTCAAACTTTTTGCAGGGTCCTTGTGATCTTTTGGGAACAAAAAAAAAAAAAAAGGGGGGAAGGAGAA